CAAACAATGGTCTGGCTCTGCAAGACATGCATCAAGTATCCTGGTCAAATGAGTCTCAGGAAGTGATGGGAATGGATTCTTACTCAAACACAATGTTTGCTTCTCAGGAAAACGCAGCTGGTCACTTTGAAGCAGAGAGGGGTCTTTCAGCCATGCAATACGATGAACAAATAAATCCTCAGTCTCATCAATTTGTGGAACAAACAGAACCCCCATCGGTTCAGAGTGAGGGTGGACCTTCCTCACAACACTTTGAGGAAAACCGAGCTGGACCCCCCTATTCTTTGTCTGGGCAGAAAGGAGGGCCTCCACCAACAATGATGGTCAATGCACCTGGAGGACCTCATGGACCTAATTTTAGAGGACCGGCACCACAGTTCTCTGAAGAGCATGGTTCTCCAAATAATGATGGACAAAGAGGACCTCCCTCTGGAAGATTTGGAGGTCAAAAGGGTCCCATTCCTTCCTTATTTTCTGCACAGCATGGACCACCATCTATTTTTGGTGATAACAGGGGCCCTGCACCTTCTTACCATGGTGTTCCAAGGGGAATGTCACCATCTCAGTTTGAGGATTGTAGGGAACCCCCCATGGAACAAATGGAATTCTCAGATTCCCAGTATCATGAAATGATTAGACCTCCAGGACAGTTTGAAGGACCAGATCCATCTCAGTTCGGGGGAAACAGAGGACCTTCACCTTTTCCTTTTGGAGGCCAAAGACGACCCCCACCTGCTCAGTTTAAAGGACAGAGGGGAGGCCCTCAGTTTGGAGGGCCAAGAGGTCCAGCCCCGAGTCATTTTGGGGGACCAAGAGGGCCTCACCCAAATCAATTTGAAGGGCAGAGAGGTCCAGCTCCAAATCATATACCTGGTCCAAGAGGACTTTTGCCACAGCCATTTGAAGAACGGAGAGGGAGTTCACCACCCAGATTTGCCAACCAGAGAGGTCCAGCACCAGTTCAGTTTGGAGGACCAAGGGGAGCCGCACCTGCAATGTACCCAGAAGAAAATGAACCTTCCTCTTCTAGATTTCATTTCCAAGGTCAGTCAGCACAAGGTATGAAGCCAAACCCAAGACCACTCCTGGACCTTCCAAGCCACCCACCATCCCACAGAAAAGAGATGTGGGAGGAAGCTGGACCATCTGCATCTCTTTCTAATGTTTCTGGACAAGGATCTGAGTTGGAAGGACAGTGGTCAGGCTCTGACTTCCGAGAAGGCAAAAATCCTGAATTTAGAGGCCAGACATTTGAAGGGAGACAGAGAGAGAGATATGAGGGAGGAAATAAAGACAAGGGTTTGGATCAGCCAGAGCCTCAGCAAGCAGATAATCGACAAGGCAGACCCTTTGAGGACAGACGAAGGGATCGAGAACACGGGAGGCCTTGGGAGAGAGACCGTGGCAGAAACTGGAGCAGAGACAGGGACTGGGAGAGACACAGAGACAAGGACTGGGATAAAAACAGAGACAGAAACCAAAACAGAGAGAAGGATTCAGAGCGGTCTAAGGAATGGGAGAGAAACAGAGACCGAGACAGACCAAGAACCAGAGAGAGAGACTCTTACAGAAGGCGTGACAGGGAGCGGTCGAGAAGCAGAGACAGAGATCGTGACAGGGAGAAAGACAGAGACCGGGACCGGAGCCGGGAGAAAGAAAGAGAGCGGGAGAGGGAGCGAGAACGCGACCGAGAGAGGGGGAAGGACCGCAAAGATCGGAGCAAGAGCAGGGAAACTGGGAAAGAGACGAAGCCAGAAACACCGAAGGAAACCCCGAAACCAACAGAAGCAGAAGCTTCATCTTCCACTAATCAGTCGTAGAACGATTAGTGGAATGACTGATATTGGATTTCTCGTGAATAATTGACGTCTACAACAGCGCAAGGACTGAGTGTCTTCTGTACATACTGTATATTCTCACCTTTGAGGACTGATTCATTGTCTTCTGTACATACTGTATATTCTCACCTTTACAAAAAACTAGCCTTACAGAATGAACTGACAACTGACAGTTTAGCAATTTTTAAACAACTGTGAATGAAAATACTCAAGTAGATAAAAGGCAAGAACATCCTGGACTTCCACTTGCTGCATTTTGTGCATAATGTTTTTTCTTATAAAAACTCACAGCGTTACCTGTACCGAAATGTTGTTTTTTTCTACTTGCATCTTTATCTTAAAATTTCCATTTACAGAACCGAAATGGAAAAAGTCTAAGAAGAGCATATTGCTTTTTAAGATTATAAAGTTATGTTTTCCAGTAACTTGAATTGTAATTTTATAAGAGAATTTAATCCAGACCTTAGGAGCCATACCTTTACATCTCATTTACGTGATATTTTGGTGTCAAAGTTGTTCCTACAGCACACGCTTGAAAAACAAAATAAAAGTCCAGTGTTGCTGTCTTGTTTATTTTACAACAGAATGGCCATGTGTATTTAGGAGAAGAACAACAGTGTTAATAATTATTTGTGACTGATGGAGGATTTGAAAATGGAATGTTATAAACTTCAAGTGCACTATCTTCCTTTTTATATACAGGTGTTCTGTGTTTTGGAAGGAAACAAGTTATACTTTGGTTTTCTCATGAGGCTGAGGAGTTTTAAATGTTGCATTTTTACAAATCTGTAATTAAAGAACAGACAAGAGAAGCACCTTTAAAACCAGCAAAACTTACACAAATTCCAGACATTAATTTGAAAAAGGCTGAGACTAAATTGGTAAACCAAAGGAAAGAAGAATAAGTTGCTTAAACAGGCCACTGAATCTGTTACTTCTATTGAATTGATTTAGTGAAACTTTTTTTATTTGTTTGGGCTTTTTGCATAATTTTGCCATAGACTTAAGTCCCAATTTTATTGTAGGCTTCCTTCTAAAAGTGTTTTGCTCCAGAAAAATGAAAAAAAAATGAAAAAAAAAAAGTGCCACAGTTTTTTTTTTGTTAAACCCTATTTAGGCTCAGTGCGTGTATAAAATTCCCTACGGAAAATGACATGAGTTGCATTAAGCTTGAGAAGAAGGATGGGGGGTACTTCATGTTGTGATTCAGGAGGGAAGTTTTTCACTGTGAAATACATGGCATTGCTACTTTTCCATGTATTCTTCAAGTATATCGTTCTGAAGTATGAAAGAAAAACCCTGCTAATTTATTTCACCACGCACATTAACGGTTGGGTAGGTGTTTTGATTTGTTGTTTGGTTGTTTGTTTTTTTAATAAAATAGTTTTGGAAATGTAAGAGTAGTTTCCTGTCAGCATCTTGAAGACTACATTACAAGTAGCATGTGTGCAGTGTATTTCACTGTAGATTTTACAGTTCATCTTGGTGCATCTTTGAAAGTCCTGCAGAAGGAGGATTTGCTGGTGGAAAAGGTCATCTGAGCCTGTAGACAAAACGTTAAAAGACAGAGAGGTGGTATTAAAATGCAAACATCTACTATGGTGTAAGATTTTTTTTTTCTTAATGAGATGTTTCTAATTTAAAGACATACATAAAAGTATGCAAAAAAAAAAAAAAAGTGTTTGTTTAGGTTTACTTGATAGAAATTTCTGTAAATTGTATTTTATATTGCAAATTATATCACTGTACATTAAAATACGGGACTTCACAGGATTTTTTGTTACTGTAAGTAGAATAAACATCTACAGAGAACTGTTGTCTATTTCTTACATGTGTGTATTATTTTCTAAATGTTGCCACTTCTCAACAAACCCCAAGGGACTGATGACACAGGGGTTTCATTTCCTCACTCTTGAACGAAAGATGTTTTGCAGGACCTCACTAAAAACTGATGTTTAATTGCAGGCATTCTAAAATGATATGAAAAATCTGTGCTTATGATTTTTCTCTCCATTCTAAAATACACTTTTTTAATTAGGAAGATAGTAATTTTTATATTTTGCACCAAAAAACACTTCACAGGTCCGGAAAAGTTGAGCTTTTTTTTTAAATTTACCTGTTGCTACACTGGGGAGGGCTCTTTCCTCTGTTAAAAAAGGACATTGAGGTGCTGCAGTGGGTCCAGAGGAGAGTAACAAGGCTTGGTGAAGGGACTGGAGGGAGAGGCTGAGGGAGCTGGGCTTGTTTAGCCTGGAGGAGACTCAGGGGGGCCCTTCTCTCTACCTGAAAGGTTGTGCTCAGGTGGGGTTGGGCTCTTCTCTCAGGCTCTTCTCAACAGGGCAAGAGGCCTGAAGCTGCCCAGGGGAGGTTTCGGTTGGACATTAAGATTCACAGGATGTCAGGGGTTGGAAGGGACCTCTGAAGATCCACCCCCCTGCCAGAGCGGGGCCGCAGATCACTCAGCAAGGCCTCCAGGCGGGTCTTGACAGTCCCTAGAGAAGGAGCCTCCGCAGCCCTATCTGGGCAGCCCCTCCTAGAGCTCCGGCCACCCTCACGCTGAGGTGGAACGAGACCCGAATCCTCACGGAGCGGGCGATGGAGACGCCGGGATGGGGTCACCGTCCCGGGAGGTGCCTCAGGCGGGCGGTGCCTCAGGCGGGACGGGGCTCCA